ATGCTGAGGAGTAAAGCTCATCAGTTCAAGACCAACCTGTGTTAGCCAGACCCTGTTTTAAAAGGAAAAAGAGACCAAAGACTGATTTTCCTTCAGCTACTCTTTTCTGGTTGTCTGGATACCTGAAATACCTGTTTTAAGTATCCTAGTGATAGCAGCTAATAGTTCATAATAATTTTATAGCCCATATTTCACTGTAAAAGAACCCTTAGTTAGTACTTTCTAGACTGTTTATAAGAGGTACAAAATCAATAAAGTGCAGACACCTTTTTGGTTGATCGTGCTTTAAACAAGGTGACAAAGCAAGCTACAATTCATGGAGAGTATCAAAGGCAAATGCCTTATATATTGGAAATTATAGAGAGAGCATTGATTTCTTTTTAACAGAAAGATCTATGCTCAAAATTTAGTTTTGCTAAGATAAGAGGTTTGACCTCTTAACAGAAAGTACAGTAGTAGCAATAGGGCTGGTAATAGACTAAATCTCAGAACACAGTCTTTCTTCGTTTAATGGTAGTGTTAAACATTTTTAAGGTGTCAGTAAATATCCGAAGCAAATATAAATTATTATAGAAGTGGGTGCAACATCTACTGCATTTTGTTTGTACCCTGAATCTTTTGCTTTTTCTAGCTGATTCTAATCCTCTCACCTTTTTTTTTCCCTAAGGGGATCAATAAATGGCACTCTTCTTGCTGACCTCGTAATTAGTAACTCAGTCTCTCTTAATCTCTTTCCATTATCAGAGGTAATGTGTAAGTCCCTCAGAGCTTGGAGGATGGCAGAATGGAGTCCTCAGGCTCCTAGAATTGCTTTTTCTGCATCTTAGACTACCATGGAAAAACTGAGGAAAAGAAGTATTTGGGGAACTTTATGAACACAATATGCCAGTATACTAAGATGTGTGATTGCTGAAGGAAGTTTTAAGTGAGAGAGTAGACAAAAGTAGGGTTTTAGTTTTCTCTGTGTGTGGTAGTAATAAACATTTTCCTTTTAAGGATCTGTAGTGACAGAGAGGAGGAGAGGAGGAAATTTTTGGTATGGAACACAGAGGGGGGGGAGAAACACAAGAGAGAGAGAGAGAGAGAGAGAGAGAGAGAGAGAGAGAGAGAGAGAGAGAGAGAGAGAGAGAGAGAGAGAGAGAGAGAGAGGAGAGAGAAACACAGAGAGAAAGAAGGGGGGAGTTTTCCTGAAAGGTACAGAACTATTTTCGAGAAGAAATATATTATCTACAGTTGCAATGTTTAGACATTTGGCAATTGGATAAAATAATTTTTGGTGAAAATAGGAAAACAGATGGACATAAATGTACAATAGGGCAGTAACTTTCATTCCTTGTACATACACAGTGAAATCTTTCTAGGCAATAAATTCTTGGAGAAGTTGAATAGGACTTGGGTAAATGTCATACTTTATGACTGAATACATATAAACAGGTGAAAACTCAATATGAAGAGGTAATGGTAACTCCCTGATAAAGAGACTTAGAACCCTTTCATCCTACAGGATGGATTGCATTAGAGATATAATGGTACAAGTGTTGGATATTTTTTTAAAAGATACTGCTTACAATTTTGCCTATTATGGATATAGGAAATAAATGCCTTTTGTTCCACCAAAGGAAATATATATCATTTAAAATGTTAACTATAAAAATTTTGATCCCATAGTTTCTAGAACAAATACCAAGATTACTTTTAAAGGTGACATAGCCCTAGGTGTATTAAAGGATAGTTGACCATAGAGAGTTATGTAACTGTTTTACAACAGCTTCCAAACTAAAGTTGTTCCACAGCATTGACAGTATCTGAGCATTGAAGCCTTCCCTTTATTCTCTGAGTTCATCCTGTGTACTCAGTACTCTTGACTTCAGGTTCTTGTGCCTCTTTTTATTTTCTTTTTGAGACAGGGCTTTATGTTTCTCAAGGTGGCCTCATATGCACAGTGTAGACATGGATGTCTTTGAACTTTGATCCTTTGCCTCCACTTCTGATTGCTGAGGTTTATAGGCATTCACCATTGTGCCCAGCTTATTCAGGGTGAGGGACTGGAATCAGGACTTTGTAGGCAAATGTTTTGCCAACTGAACTACATTCCCAACTCCCTAATGCCTTGTCTCTTATCTCAGACCTGTCTTTCCTATCTTTCTGTATCAGATTACTGTAGTTCACTTTGATTGTCCTCTCTTTTTTAATTTGTCTAACATGTACACTAACTTAAAACCTCATCTCTGGCTTGTTTAACTTCTAGCAGACACTCTTGGAGGCCATAATAATTTATCTTTTTTTTAAGCTGTGTCTGTGTGTGTGTGTGTGTGCGTGTGGTGTGTATGTATGCATACATGCCACAATACATGTGTAGAAGTCAGAGGACAACCTTGAGTATTGGTTTTTGCCTTCTACTGTAGCAGACTTTCTTTTGGACCACCAACCAGCTCCCAATTCACAACACAGAGACTTATTATTAGCTATGAATTTTCAACCTTAGTTTATGCTTGTCCCACTCACTCTTACAAATTAAATTGCCCTATCTCTCTCTCTTAATCTACATTTTGTTTCAGAGCCTTTTACCTTTTTTTTGTTCTGTATGTCCTATTCCATGTCTGCCTGGCTGGTTGGTCCAGGATGTTTCCCATTCTCCCTTATTCTCTCTTCTCGTGCACCTAGATCCCTCCCCCTACTTATTCTCTCTGCACCTGCCAGCCCTGCCTATCCCTCTACTGCTCAGCTATTGGCCATTCACCTCTTTATTAGACCAATCAGGTGCCTTAAGCAGACAAGGTAAAACAAATGCAGCACATCGTTACATAGTTAAACAATTGCAGCACAAACAAATGTAGCACATCTTTACATAGCTAAAGTAATATTCCACAACATTCTACCTTGTTTGAGAATGATTCCCTTTCTGGTGACTGGAAGGCTAGCTGACCACAGAGATTCTCCTCTCTCTACCTCCCATCTTGCTATAGAAAAACTAGGATTGCAGACTTATGCTGTCAGGTCTGGCTGTATGTGGGCTTGGGAATCTGAACTTAGGTACTCATGCTTGCAGGAGTCTCACGTCCATCTACCATCTTGCCATAAGAGTGCTCAGATTACAGATGGGTTTTATTTCATCTGGCTTTATATGGATTCTGGAGATCTGAACTCATGTTTGATGCTGATTTACCTTCCTGGTACTTCATTTTGTTTCCTTATGCACATTAGTTACATGATCGGTAAGCATCGTGGAAAACAAGGCCCAGAGGGATTCAGGAGCAAACAATAGGGCGACAGTGGATATTTAGAGAAAGTAGACAGAGTTGGAGACCTAGACAAAAGAAATTGGGAGGGAGGGAGAAGAAAAAGGAGGGGAGAAGGGGAGAGGGGAAGAAATCATGAGGCATCAAGAAGGTCAAGTTGGGGGAAGAACAGAGGAGGAGAGCAAGGAAAGAGATACCTTAATAGAGGGAGCCATTATGGGCTTAAGAAGAAAACTGGCACTAGGGAAATCTCCAGGGATCCACAAGGATGACCCCAATTAAGAATCTAAGCAATAGTGGAGAGGCGACCTTAAATGACCTTCCCCTATAATGAGATTGATGATGACCTTAAATGCCATCCTAGAGTCTTCATCCAGTAACTGATGGAAGCAGAAGCAGAGAATCACAGCTAAACACTGACCCAAACTCCAGAATCCAGTTGTAGAGAAGGAGGAGTGATGAGCAAAGGGGTCAAGACCATGCTGGGGAAACCCACAGAAACAACTGATCTAAGCAAGTGGGAGCTCATGGACCCCAGACCAACAACTGAGGAACCAGCATAAGACCAAACAAGACCCCCCGAACATGGGTGTCAGTTGAGGGGCTTGGGCAGTCTATGGGGCCTCTGGCAGTGGAACCAGTATTTATCCCTAGTGCACAAATGGGCTTTGGGAGCCCATTCTCTATGGGAGGATACTTTCTCAGCCCAGATACACCAGAGGAGGGCCTAGGTCCTGCCCCAAATGATGTGACAGACTTTGATGATCCCCCGTGGGAGGCCTCACCCTCCCTGAGGAGTGGATGGGGAGTTGGATGGAGGGTTGGTGGGGGGAATGGGAGGACAGAAGGAAGAGGGACCTGGGATTGGTATGCAAAATAAGATTGTTTTTAGTTTAAATAAAATTAATAATAAAAAAAAGAATAGCTCTGGGGAAGCTAAGAGATAACATTCAGAGCTAAGATGATAGGCTGATTTGAGACACACATGTGCCTAATCTACTATGGGAATTGTAGGTGCTAGCTCATAAATGAACCAGTGAACAAATTAGTATATTGAGTAGAGTAGGATGGCCACTTTTCCTTTTAAGTTATTCATAAACATGTTTTTGTTCCCTAATGTGCAAAGATAAATCATATTTTTCAGGAACAAATTCTGATGGGTTAGACAAAAATGTAAAATATTACCAGAATATATACTGCTTAGAAGAATACAAAGGAGAAAAGTTCAGTTGTGCAGTACAGGCCAAATGCTTAAGCGGGCATAAGTGGCAGGCTCAGTTGTTTGGACACTGGCTTGTTATCAGTAAGGCAGAGCATTGATAGAGAGGTGTGGGTAGGCTGAGGAGAGCCCTGAACTTTCCTAGAGTTTCCTTGTGGACCTTAGTAAGAAGTGTCTCTGAGAGTCCTGGTCTGGCTCCATAATTACACTTCACATTACATATTGCATATTAGCATTGGAAATGGGCTGACTAGATTCCTCATCTCTAAAGCTGTTGGAACACATATCAGCAGTTAGTAATGTTTCACATCAAATTTTCATAAATATCAAATTGAGATGTCCTAATTGTTGTAGAGATCTAAAATATCTACCTCATCTGAGAGAAATAATGTTCACATAGAAGGTGATAAATGCATTCAAAATCTGAAAGAAAGAACAAGAAAAGTAGTATTAATTTGCATTTTCCTGGGTTACTTAAGGTATTTTCAAAGATCTGTAACTAAAAGTAAGTACTTCTCTTCCAAATTATTATTTATTTCTAGTCATTTAGTCCTTCAAGAATCAGAAGGAGGAAAAGTATTACAGCTTACTCTCCAACAACTGGAACTTATCAAATGAGCCCATTTTCTTCTCTCACAACCCTCAAAGAACAAGAGTGTGGAAACGGACCATCAAATGGTTAGTTGAACATTCTTTTCCACTTATGGTAAGATTCTTCTAGTTATTGGTTAAATCAAGGTTTTGATTTAGTAATATATAGCTCTTGTTGAAGCTGGTTTTTCTCTCTTCTCAAGGAATTTAACATAAGAAAGGCTAGATGTAAATGTTACTTTGAACATAAATGTAAACTTTGTAGACACTTATTTTAAAATGCTACTGCTGTTCCCTCACTATCCCATCTATTAAATAGAAATTATGACCTGACTGCCGTCAGCTACTATCAATTATAATGGTTACAGATATGCCCTTAACAAGCTATCCATCATGTGCATAAATTAAAGGGCATATAACTCAGGTATTGCCACACTGCAGTTTAAGAGGGGTACTTCTAAATGTTATTTTTATCCATATTGTCCATTTAACTATACCCACATTTAGTATATGTTTATATAGTTTACATCTATTGTATTTAAGCTATAAAATTTTTCCTTATAGAATAATCTAATTTTTATATAAAATCATTTAATTCTGACCATACATATTTGTTGTTATCTAGTAGTTTACTGCTATATTTAAAGGCACAAGTGTAATTTTATATGCTTAATAGTTTTTTTATATTATAAAAGGTCATGAATCAGTGATATATCATTTTCTGTAATATAAAATTTTAAATAGGTTCAAATTTAATAAAATGTATTTTAGATATGCTGTGATTAACCTATTTCATATTTTATTGTTTAACATTTATTGGATGTTAAGCATATGCTAGAATCTATAAAGAAACTGGTCTCATTTTACCTAATTTATTTAAATAAACACAGAAGATATTAAGCTTTTGAGTGTCTTTGATTTTAGTTTAATCAAATGCTTTAATCCTAAAGCTATTAATATTATGTTTGTTTTCTATGTTTTTATATACCTGATATATACTTCTTAATTAAAAATAATAGCTTAGAGATTGTATATCTCTGTATGAATATCTCAATAGATTTTAAATTGATACATACTCAATTTCCATATTGAAATTAAATATGGACTTAAGGGAGCATTCTTTTTGCCCATAAAAAGATTGGCCACATGATTTCACTTGACATTTATGGGTAATTATGGATAGTTATCATATTAAGATACTAAATATGCTCTTTTTTAAAAAGTCAAACTGCAGTGCTTCTGAGGTGTTGGCAATATTCTAGGTTTTACTTATGTGGTGATTACTGATTCACTCTAGTTACTAATTGAAGTGGACATGTTGTTTAATGCTTTGGTAGATATGTGTGTATGTGTATATGATATACATATATAGCCATGCATATCACATATAAAAATTTAAGGTCCTGAATTAGATCACATCATTTATAATCATATTCCCAATCCTAATAAGTCTTCTGCTTGCTTTAGAAATAAGAAAGCCTAATTGTTATCAGATATCATAAGTTCCAAGTTAAAAAATATAATTTATAAACTAATTTAAAATTCAGATGAGGTCATGATCTCCTTTACTATTTCTCCCTTTTAAAATATTTGTTCAAACCCTAATGGGAAATTTGAATAACATTTAGAAACGTTTTATTCCTACTTGCTTCTCATTAGACTTGATAATAAACCCCAAACCCTTATTCTTAGATTTTGCATGTTCAAGTCTCACAGTTCGAATATGAAGGTCAGGGGGCAACTTTTTTTAAAATTTTTTTAATTTAAATTAGAAACAAGCTTGCTTCACATGTCACTCACAGCTCACTCTCCCTCCCCTCCTTTCCTACCCCTCACCAGCCTCCCCAGCTCCCCACCCAGTCCCCACACCATTCCCCAGGGAGGGTGAGGCCCTCCATAGGGGATCTCCAGAGTCTGTCATTTCTTGCAGGGCAGGGCCTAGGCCCTTCCCCATGTGTCCAGGCTGTAAGAGCATCCCTTATTGTGGGATGGGCACCCAAAGTCCATTTGTATGCCAGGGATAAATATTGATCTACTACCCAAAGCCCCATAGATTGCCTAGGCCTCCTCACTGACACCCACATTCTGCGGGTCTGTATCAGTCCCATGCTGGCCTCTCAGCCATCAGTTGGAGGTCCAAGAGCTCCCCCTTGTTCAGGTCAGCTGTTTCTGTGGGTTAAACCAGCTCAGTCTTGACCCCTTTGCTTATCGTTCCTCCCTCTCTGCAACTGGGTTCTAGGGGTTCAGTTCAGTGTTAAGCTGTGACGGTGTCTGCCTCTGCTTCCATCAGCCACTGAATGAAGGTTCTAGGATGGCATATAAGGCAGTCGTCAAACTTATTATCAGGGAGGGGCATTTAAGGTAGGTTCTCCACTATTGCTTAGTTTGCTGGTTGGTGTCATCCTTGTAGATCTCTGAAAATCTTACTAGTGCCTGATCTCTCCTCCAACCTATAATGACTCCCTCTATTATGGTATCTCTCATCTGCTCTCCTCTATTCTTCCCCCGACTCAACCTTCCTGCTCCCCCATATCCTTCTCTCCCCTCCTCTTCTCCCCCTTTCTTTTTCCTGGTTCCCTTTCCCCTCCTGCCCCCCATGCTCCCAATCTGCTCAGGAGATCTTGCCTCATTCCAGGGGGCAACTTTTGAGCATAAATTCTCCCTTTCTTTCTTGTTGCACTTCTTTCTGGTGCTGGGCTATGTTCTCTGAGCCAGCTGGCCTGTGAGTTTCAGAACGATTCTACTCTCTCTGCCTCCTGTCTCCAGTAGAGGTCCTGAGGTAACAAATGTGCACCACCACACCTTGCTTTTTTCATGGACTCCAGGGCTGAACTCAAATCATCAGGGTTGTGTGACTTTTACCCACTGAACCATCTTCCTGATCCTGGAAACCCATATTGGGATTTTAAAAGCCATTCATCCATCAAGTACCTACCCATTTTTCTTCCCATGTTTTAGCAGCTCTTGTTATCTACCGTACTTAGTCATGCTGAGCCCTTGCTGACTTTGAATCTTTTAGTCCTGTCTCCACCTCCAAAGTACTGGGGTGACAGGCATACAACACCATGCCCAGCTTAGGTTATTTTGTATAACTTACTTAAAACAGTAGCTGGCCCTAGTAAGTGCCACATGCTAACCATTGTCATCATTACCATTAATTGTGCTTTCAAGTTTTATCCACTGAAAGCTATTTTCATTAGTTAAAGAAAAGGCTCCCTGGATCCCTACCAGAAACTTCAAATACAGTTCTGAATGTAGTGCAGATTCAGTGATAACACACTTGTATAGTCAGTGGTTTGTAAAGCTGTACTTTAAAAAGGTAAAAAGGTCAAGAACACAATTATTAAAACATGCATATATAACCTAGAAAGAAAAATGCCGATATGATTCCATAGTCCTTTAATATATATTATGTTCCTTTTGGGCTTTGCTTGATTTTTGGGTTTCTAGACAGGTTTTCTTTGTACACCCCTTGTTGTCTGAAACACACTCTGTAGACAAGGCTGGCCTTGAACTCATCAATCTGCCTATCTCTGTCTCCCAAGTGCTGTGATTAAAGGTGTATCCACCAAGCCAGGCATGTATTGTATCTACTTTTTAAGTAGAATGAAATGAAGAGAACTATTAACTGAAAAATGTTATTTTGAGAGCTATTTCAAGTCTTACTTAGAAATTGAAAAGTACTTAAAGATCTAAGAAAACCAAGATTTTTTATTGACCCACATATTGGCTAACATATGGTTTATTATTATGCAATAATAAAAATATTTAAAAAGTCATTGGACACCTGATTTTAAAAAATCTAGTAAAATAATCTGGGCTGCTGCTGGCTCCTGGGGCTAAAATATGAAAATGAACTACAAGTTAAGGAAGCAATTTTAATATTTTATTTTGGAGCTTTCCTGAGTATACACAGTATAGTACAAAATTCAAGAAATGACTTTTGGTCAAGATTTTCTTTAAGAAAAGGAAATTAAAAGAACAAAATAGGACACCTTTTCTTTCTTACTTCCCTTTTGTCTTTTCCCTTCACTTCCTATTTAATATTCAACAATCTAAATTCATTTTGTTGTGTGCTTGTTCTTTAAGTTGTGTCAAATGATGCATGTCAGTCCTCCCTATTCTGTCTTTCAATCGGTGGAATTATAGGTAGCTAAAGTGTGGCAATTTAATTGGTTAAAATGTGGCCAATTGTCTCTTTAATGTTGTGTCCTTTTCTTTGTTACACTCATACAGGAAAGAGAAAACGGAATAGCCTCAGCTCACCTACAAGAAAGGAATCCACGGCAAAAGACAGTGATGAGTAAGCTTGATTTTGAATTTAGAGTCACTGAATATTGTTCAGGAAAAACTTGACCTCTTTTAAAGTGACAGTTTAAGAAAAATCATTTATTTTGTGAATTAGTTTATACTGGACTGAATCATTCTATCTACACATGTGTTTATTTTATATGATTTTCTCTTTTAACTTTGTTGTTAAGGAAAATATTTGTGGTGTGTTGCAGTGCTTATATAGTGGAGATGTATAACACTTTAATTTTAAAAGTAATTGACCCTAGGTCTGGACCGGTGCAGATAGACCAATTTGGGGGTCAAACTAAGGAACCCTCATTTAACAGTCACATAGGAATAGAAAGGGAGAATGCCACAAGCGAGGTGGTGATGGTGGGTGATAGGGAAGGCTCTGAGCAGCTCAGATTGCAAGCCGATACCCAACCATGTTCACATTGGCCTGCCGCCATGCCTTTGAATAAAAGTACTTTTTACAGAAATTCTGTGTATCCTATAAATAATATTTATTTATGTTACCCTGTAATAATTAAACTAGTCAAAGAGGCTTGTGTGTTCGTCTCATTTACAAAGTGATTTCTATGTGCTATACCATAGATGTAAAGTGAAGTTTCAACTCTCATAGGACTCATGGTCTTATGTTGTAAGTTAATATATCCTCCTCAACTAAGAAATGAGTTATGTTGAAAACTTTTCCTAAGTCATTTATATGGAACAATGAAGCATTTATCTAGTTATTCTTTATCAATAAAAACTCAGAGTTAGATACCGGGGTAAGAACCTGATTGATCAGAAAAGCAGTGGAGAAGTTACCAGTGACATCTTCTCTCCCCCCTTCCTCTATCCAAAAGGGATAAGCTCTCTAAGCCTCTCTCTACTACTTCCTGTGTCTCCCTATATGTTCTCCAAAACCTCTATGGCTAATTTTGTCAGCTAGTAGCTAGCACTGCCCTCTGAGTCAAGGTAAGCTTTAGTGGAAGTCTCTGGAGTGTCAGAATGCTGTCAGAACATCCCACAACAGAACTCGGATGCACTTTCCTTTCCAATAGTGTCAAAAACTATAGTTTTCAACATAACTCATTTCTAAGTTGAAGAGGATATATTAACTTACAACATAAGACCTTGAGCTCTAAGTGGATGGAAACCTAAGTTTGCATCAGATCAGATGTTCTGTGTTTCATAAGGTAAGTGACCAGTACTGGTTGCTGAGTGCTGTTTAAACCCTGCAGTGAGGAAGGTCGTCCTCTGGGAAGCCTTGCTTGCATCTCCTGCTCTACCTCTTTACTTGCTTCAGGGTTCTCTAGACACATTCTCCCTGCCATCAAATGTGGTCCTGTTCTATGCTTTCCTACCCCACAGATACACTTAAAAAGTGTTGCTCCTTTGTGTGTGTGTGTGTGTGTGTGTGTGTTAGGTAAAAGCATTTCCATGGTGTGCCGTCAAGGTCACGGACTAGCCTCCAGGACTCCGTTCTCTGATTCCATCGAGTGGATTGCCCTGTCACCAACCCAGCAAAGTGTTTTGCTCTTTACTTCTTTTTCAGTATTTTTAAAAGATTAATTTATTTTTATGTGTATGATGAATGTTTTGTCTTTAGATATAGAAATTCACTTTGGGGATAGAGGCCAGAATTTGATAAATTCATTTCTGTCAACATTTGTTTCTGAAAACCACACCCTTCAGTGTTAAAATTACTGAATTTAAGTACAGATACTTTGAAATAAATAAAAATAATTCATATTGAAATTATTTTTCTACTTTAACATTTTTCATTCTTGTCTGAGATCTATTTTTAATTTTTTTAATGTTTCTCTTCTATTTTGGAAAACCACTATAAAGACTTGAATTTTTTTAAATCTCAGATTAAATGGGACACATTTATGGGTTAGTTCTAAATTATCTTAAAATATTGTGGCAATATTCCCCCATTGGTTTTCCTTTGCTCACTATCATGTAGTGTAGAGAGGCCAGGAAAGAGGAAGTTCAAGGGGCCTGTTTACAGAGTGTTCACCAGGCTGTGGTGGGTTCACTGTTCTTTACACATTTTAAGATTTTTTTAAAGATTTGCTTATTTTATCGTATGTGCATGAGTGTTTTGTCTGCATGTATGTGTGTGCACCACATGTGTGCTTGGTGCCTGAGGAGGTCAGAAGAGGGTGACAGACTGCCTAGAACTGGAGTCACATGCAGCTGTGAGCCAATGTGGGTACTGGGAATTGAACTCAAGATTCTCTGCAAAGCAACTGCTGTCATAAATTATCTCATCTATCTTTTGCCTATGGGCTTTTACCTTTTCTTACCTCTGTAAATCTTACTTTCACTCTTACTCCGTGGCTGGATTGCTGGATGGGTGGCTGGGTGGCTAAGTGGCTGGGTGACTGGTCCTTAACACCCTCTTCCCCTTATTCTCTAGTGGATCCTTTTCCTTGTTCCTCCTTCTGTTTATCCTCTCTGCTGCCAGCCCTGCCTATCCTTGCTCCCTGGCTCGTTATTGGCCGTTCAGCTCTTTATTAGGACCAGCAGGTGTTTTAGACAGGCCCAGTAACACAGCTTCACAGAGTTAAACAAATGCAGCATAAACAGAAGTCACACACCTTAAAATAATATTCTACCACACTTCCCCTTTCTGTCTAAATAAAAAGAAAAATTTTAACTTTAACATGGTGAAACTACATACAACCGACAGATATCAAGTAAGAATTAATTTACAGTATTCTGTCTACTTGTCATTATCATATTCAGAGAAAATAATGCATTATCAATCCTATCTTAATGAATCCAAAGTTTTATATCTAACTTACTTTCTATAATATCTAAGGAAAACTGCAACTGTAACTACCTAGTCTTCAACTCCATCAAAGGCACTAGGAGGATATAGTATTATTTAAGTAAACAAAAAGTACATTGCAAATGACTTCTAAAAACTCTAGAAATGACAGAAATATCTAAATACCTGGAATTTTACCCAAAGTTCCTTTGCAACATTGGGGAATCCATCGTCAGCCTACAGACATGTAGTATCTGGCAGACTTTTCAACAGAAAATTTGAAAAACTGCCCACCTATATTGACAGTTTGCTAGTCACTTCCCTCTGTGTCCTGCACAAGGTCTATTCTTCTGTGAAGCAGGAACACTGAAGGACCATCCCACCTTGCTTTTGGCAAAGCACTTTTAATTTCCATTTGACAAAGTTAAGGCATTCCTAATCTAGGCTGGTTTCTTTCTACTGTCCCTCTTTCGATTCCAGGTCTCTTGGCAGCTGTCCCTTGCTTTTCAGCAATCAAAAAATTCAGAAGCAACCAATAGCATACAGGATCCAGACTCCTGTGTATTATTGCCCATCTTTACGTGACTCAGTCTTTTTTATTTTTACTCTCTTTAAAGACTCTGTTTTATTATTTTAAACTATTTCTTTCTTTCTATACCATTCATACCCTTTTCTTTTTTTCTTAAGCCTATGCACATTGTAGTCTAGAGGTTTTTCTGTCTGGATCTCTTTTTCTGTGTATGTAGTCTTTTTGACCGCACTGCAAATTTTGAGCTGTTAAGTTACACCTGGGTCCTCCACGTCCATGTCATCTGGCTCCACCCTCTTCTCAGGTCAGGGAAGCCAAGCCTAGAGCTCACAGCCCAGTTGGAGATTCTTGACCAAGAACTTCATTAAACCTTTCTAGCTATGGAAACTGTTGCAAGTGGTTTTTACTTAGCTTGCCATTTCTAGTTTCTGTTTAGCACTGCTGGCTGAACAGCAGCACCTCTTAAAGGAGCCATATTTTTTCCTCTGGCTCTGGATGAATATCCAAGCCCCATGTTGGTACACCATTATACACATTTTAAAATTCACTACATGATTGATAGTAAGTCATAAAGGTGTTTTACAGCTACATACAAGAGTTCCCACTGATAAACTGTTTCCAGATATTCTTTCTAAACTGTCAGCAACTTAAATTTTTATATTTATGTTGTTATATGCAGTGTGCTTGCATTGGGTTGGCATTCGGTGTCTTTCTTAGTTGCTCTCCACTAAATATATATATATGGGTGGGGTCAGAGTTGCATTACTCACTTCAACCCAGAGCTCCTCAATTGCTGCCTTAACTTTGATAAGGTGTTAGGTCCATTTGGGATATTACACTGTGTAGTTCCTGGGAGCCTCATACATATCTGACTCTTTTGAGGAGACCCTTATAGTTTTTAAGGTAGCAGACCTCAGGGCTCACCCCTACCCTTGTTGACTCTCTGAAGGTCAACAAGAAGGAGCATCACTTTTGAAGGTGTGGCAGGACAGTATTTTCCCTGGAAAAAAACAACAAGAAACCAGACCCCAGATGTCCCTTTAGTAAAGTGGCTACCTGTCTGCACTTTGCATTATGTAGACATGTATCCTTTGGTATTATGATATAACAGTGTATCTACAAAGTTCACATTTGAGAACTGTGTAATTGTTACAAAGTAAAAATTGTAAAAGGAATCTCCTGTTTGATGTAAGTGTATGATTTTGTGTTGGGCCACACTCATAGTCCTTGGCCACATGTGTGCACACACCTGAAAGACCCTATACCTTCAGGATTTGGGCTACCACCTCAAACGGAGGTTTCAGTATTAAGCAAATGTGCCACAAGATAGATGACTTCTAATTGAAATCCACATAATACGTAATTTTTAAAAGAAAATATCATCCACAATTCCTCTGTCCTCTAATAATCCTCATCTTTTGGCGTATACTGTCATGCCCACAGTCCTTGTTGCTATTATTGCATGTATCTTACTTAGTTTAAACATACTGTGCTATGTGTGGAAATTTTAACCTATCATTTGTCTTTAGTAACACAGAAAATTTAGTGTATCAACACTGATATAATCTTAAAAGCTTTTCAGTAAACTCTGGTTCCTTATGAAGTCAATGCCGAAGGCCAGCCTGGTCTACATAACCATTTCCAACCCAACCAGAGTTACATTTTGGCACCCTTTCTCAAAAAAAAAAAAAAAAACTCCTCTCTCCCCACAAAGTTTGTTATGTTAAATAAAGAATGCATGATTTAAAACCAGTGCTTCTCAACCTTCCTAATATTGCGACCCTTTCATACCAGTTCCTCGTGTTGTGGTGACCTCCAACCATAGACTTATTTCATTGCTACTTCATAACTGTAATTTTGCTACTGTTATGATTCAAAATGTAAATATCTGATATGTGACTCCCTAACTCACAGGTTGAGAACCACTTATTTAAACTTAGAAAAATAAAGTCCAAATCCTAAGGGAAAAAAACTTCCAACCTATTGATTAGTAAGATCACAACGTAGAAGGTAAGTAGATTTTTCCCCCTTATTTCAAATTTAAGAGATCGTCTTTGTATCTTTTTCACACTGAACTGTGCAAGTCGTTATTTTAAGTTCCTGGGCAGCACTGCCCTGCGGTCTCAACCATGGTAAGTGAACAGTGGAATATTAACTCAAGAAGGGTGTATGGAAAGGAAAAGCAGCTATGTCTCCCCTCCCACTGAGGGTGGAAATGGGAGCAGGAGAGAGTAGACTCTGGGAGGAGGATTAATGATGTGTGTTGTGCTTATGAAGGAATGTCAAAATGAGGGGAGAACATTTACATGTGTTACCTCTTTGACTTTGAAGAAAGGGGTAGAGAACAGAATCTGTCTCTTGGAATAGAATTACGGCCCTGTGACCTGACACATTTACGTGCTTATTCTTAGTAACTGTGCTTGTCTGTTCATTCCTAGATTCATGGTGTTGCTATCTAAAATTGAGAGATCATCAGAAAAAACCATGGAGATAATGAAAAATTTAAGAAGTATACAGGTTTGCACTTTTCTCACATATAATTTTCAGACCTCCACTATTTGTTTTGAAAAGGATAAAAACGAAGCCCTGTATTTGACAATCCAGTCTAGTCAAGAGTTTGCAGAACATATATTTAATTTATTTCTCATGGGACTCTCCTTGGTTAGGGTTATAATACATGATGATTAACTATAATATTTTAGTAATAGCTGAATTTTTTGCATTTAAAAGTAATTTTATAGATTATTTTTAAGGGTTTTTTGTTTTTCGTTTGTTTGAGATAGGGTCTCACTATGTAGCTCTGGTTGTCCTAAAACCCACTATGTAGACCAGTCTGGCCTCAGAGATCCACTTACTTCTGCCTCACAAGTGCTAGAATTAAAGGCATGTGCCACCACACCTGGCATATTTTAAGTCTTTTAAAAACAAAATTAAGCCAGGTGGTGGTGGAGCATGCCTTTAATCCCAGCACTTGCGAGGCAGAGGCAGGTGGATCTCTGTGAGTTCGAGGCCAGGCTGGACCGACAGCCTCCAAAACAATACAGAGAAACCCTGTCTCGAAAAACCAAATAATAATAATAATAATAATAATAATAATAATAATAATAATTAAAATCTGCTCTTAGCTGAGCATGGTGATGAATTCTCTTAATCCCAGCACCCAGAAGGCAGAAGCTGGCAGATGTCTAGAGCTCAAGACCAGCCTGGCCTACAGAGTGAGTTCAGAACAGTCAAGTCTACATAGAGAAACCCTGTCTCGAACCTCCAGCACCCCCACCAAAAAGAAAATAGTATTATTGGATCACTATAAGGCTTGGTACACTTGACTTATCAGGAAAACTCAAATTTCCTAATTTAAGATGTTTTTTTAATGAAGAATACAATGTATTGTATTTCCTTTTGTAAATAATCTCTTAGTTGTAGAAAAGTTACTTAACTCACTAAAAATGTTTTCTTTCAGGCTTTGCAGAACAACAGACAACTTGAAGATCTCATTGGTGTTTCCCTAGTGCCATGTTTCTTAAAAAGAGAAGTGCAAAAATCCAGAGAACTAAGTAAGAAAGATTAATATATTTTCAAAGATTTTTTAATTATTTATTTTATGTATATGACTGTTTTGTCTGCATGACTGTCTGCATACCCAAAGAGGGCATCAGATTCCATACTCCATTATAGATGGTCGTGATCTACCATGTGGGTGCTGGGAAATGAACTCAGGACTTCTGGAAGAGCAGTGAGTGCTCTTAACCACTAAGCCATCTCTTCAGCCCCTGTATTTTTAATGTTAGTAATTTTAGAGATAAACCTTCTACTGTTTCTCAAGTTTCGGTGAGCTAGATCACACATACCCAAACCTGTCCAGATAGAAGTACCTTCCTTAGAAAAGGAGGCATGTGTGCTTTGCCAGGCTTCCTCTCGAATGTGGGAGAACAGGCTGCTCACTGTAGACTGCTAGCAGCTTCCTTTATATTAAGTTCGTTTTTAAAGTAAGATAGTAAGAGGGCTCTGCTTTGTGCTTGATACCTATAATTTGTATCACTTTGAATTATTTTTTTCCTGAAGAGTTTCTTCTTCCAAATAATGAGTTATCCATTCATAGTCCATGTTTTTTCATAGCCCAGGCTGACCTGGAATTCACTGTGTAGCCCAGGCTATTCTTGAAGTCACAGCAATCCTGCTTTTTATCAGCCTCTTGAGAATGCTGGGATTACAGGTGTGTGTCAACCACATCCAAGTATAGTCTGTGTGTGTCTTTATGTTTGTATTGAAGAGCATATGTTTTAAGTGTGTCTGGAGGTGCTGTGCACACCTGTGTGAAAACATGGGGTACACTGCCTGTTCCTGTGAATTGGGGTTTCTCCTTGAGCTTGGGATTTGCATGGTTTCTCTTCTAGGCTGGAAGCAAGTCTTAGGCATCTTTCTGTCCCCACCCTACTTAGAGCTGGGATTCATGCACAGGATTCCCAACTTGTTAGATGGGTGCAAGGACCCAAATTCTAATTCTTATAATTTCTCAGCAAGCTTAACCATTAATCTATATCTACAGCCCTTTCTGTTACTTCTTAAAGTGAGGGTGGTTTTATTTTGTTTTTTCTCTAATAGTGACAAAAGTAACAAAACAAAAACTGTTTGATAAGAAGAATTCAAGAATTCCTCCCAAAGGTAGGATTGTATTTTAGTTTATTACATTTAAAAAAATGGAGCGGTGGCTCATAAGTTCAAAGTGCTTATCCTGCAGAGGACCTGCTTTCATTCCTAACAACTGACATGGTGGTGAACAACCACCCATAACTCCAGTTGCTAGGGATCCAGGGCTTGCCTCTGACCTCTGCGTGAACCAGGCACACATAGGATGCTCAGGCTTACACATAGGCAAAACACTCATAGACATGTCTACCTAACCCCAGACGCCTTCATTTCTTTTAGCTATTTTTGTTCTCATAGAATTCATTCAGGCATTTATTTATGTCCTATTTGGTATCTTTGCATAACTTATAATTCTTTTTAATTAATTATTTGAGATTTCATACAATTTACTCTCATTAGAGGACATTACTGTGGGATTAGTGATTTTTGGAGGAATTATTATGCCTTGAGTTTTCATGTTTCTTGTATTTCTGTATTGATACTTGCACATCTGGAGTTCAGTCTTTGATTTTTTTTTTCTCTAAATAATCCCTGTTCCTTCATTCGAAGTGTTTTCAATATAGGAAAATGACTGGGTTGTTGTAAGGTATGGTGTTGTTTTCTTTTAGACTCCAAGTCTAGCTTACTAATTAGGCCCTCTATCCACATGTTCAGGTACCAGGCTTAGTTCCTAATACTCCCCTGAAGGGAGAATAGTGTTTGCAAAAGCCCACTGTGAAAATACAGTAATGGTCAAATAAAAGCAACGATAGCCAAATGCTAGTCATTTTAGGAAGTAAAGGAATACTGGTAGTTCTTCATGCACTAAGATGTTTGTTATTGGGTATGAGTAGGAAGGGAAATCAGAGGAGACTTAATGACCCTGTTGCCGTTTAGTCCCAAATAAACACATAAAGGCTTATATTAATTATAAACTGTTTGGCCAATGGCTCAAGGTTCTTATTGGCTAGCTCTCTCTTAATTATTAACCCATTTTTATTATTCTGTGTATCTCCACGTGGTCTTGGCTTACCAGTGATGACCAGAACTCTTGCTTCCTTGGCAGCTACATGGCATCTACCTGACTCCACCTACTCTGTCACTGGATTTCCCGCCTAGCTAAATCATGCCTGTCTATTGGCGAAACAGCTTTATTCATCAAGCAATAAGAGAAACATATATTCACAGCATACAAAAGGACAACTCCCACCAAGTGATTAGTATTAACTTGATGGAGGAAAGGGGAGAAGAGGGAAAAGTGATAGAGGGACCAGTGAGGACAGGTAAAGAAATCCAAAAGGTAGTCAAAAACAGTCCCATCTTGTAGGTGGCAACTGCACACGCAAGCCAAGCTACTACTTTCTTGGCAAAGCCTACCCAAAAAGATAGGAAAACAAGATCTAGAGGTGGAAAAAGGAAGACAACAGAAGATATAATACCTTTTTTCATAAAAGGGAAGAAAGAAGCCCCAGCCTCAAGACCTCAGCATGTCAAAGCCTGAACACTAGTCCTGGTGTGCTGAGCCCAGCTTAGAAGTATAAGCATCAGAGATTGGTGGGTCCTCTCTGTGCCTGCAGCTGTCACTTTCTGGCTAGCCTTCATTGCCTATCTTAACTCAGTCTTGGATCTGGGGCCCAGGCATAATCTCAGAGTCTCTATGCTAGGGGATACTGTGACCTCAAGGATGATACAGATGTCTACAGAAGAGCCACCACCACCTCCTGAGAAACTGGGGACAAGGGCAGTGTTGACTTTCTCCAGAACCCACTCCTGTTGAACCCATATCAGAAGTAGAAGTGACAGCAAACCAATTCCCAAATCTAAGTTCTCTTCCAGTGTTTTCCAGGTTCCTAATCTCCAGTGCCTTGCACGGTGTGATGGGGACCCCAAAGGATGAACTACAAGAGGCTTAGGACACGGGCATCTGGCAGTACTCACTAGGGAACACTAAGTTTATTGGGAATGTGTGTCTGTTACTCTTCACACTCTGGCTCTAATCAAATTTCCATCCTTGCTAAACATTGAGTGAATCTAACTCAGTTCCTCCGCAAACAGCCGGCAAGGTTTCTGCGAATAGTCCCAGGACACTTGCTGTGAGTTCTCTGTGTGTATGACTGATGGAGAGCCTGGAATCACTAAGCACCCCCCCCCCATGCTCCCAATCTGCTCAGGAGATCTTGCCTCATTCCCCTTCTCTGGGGCACCAGGCATATCTCTCTTAGGGTCCTCCCTGTTTCCCTGCCTCTCTGGCAGTGGGATTGTAGGCTGGCACTCCCATGATGCATGTCTAAAATCCATATATGAGTGAGTGCATAGCAGGTTTGTGTTTTTGTGACTGGGTTATCCACTCAGGATAGTTTCTTCTAGTGCTGTCCATTTGCCTGCAAATTTCAAGATTCCATTGTTTTTTTCCACTGAATAATTAATACTTCATTGTGTAAATGTACCACATTTTCTCTATCCACTCTTCAGTTGAGGGGTATCTAGGTTGTTTCCAGGTTCTGGCTATTACAAATAATGCTGCTATGAATGGGCACCTTTTGGGTATATGCCTAAGAGTGGAATTGCTGGGTCTTGTGGTAGACTGATTTCCATTTTCCTAAGGAATCTGCATACTGATTTTCATAGTGGCTGTACAAGTTGGCACTCCCACCAGCTTGTATCCCAAGAACTTTGAGTCCTTAACGAAAGAAATTAAAGAAGACACCAGAAAATGGAAAGATCTCACAGGCTCTTGGATAGGTAGTATCAACATAGTAAAAATGGCAATCCCCATTAAAATCCCAGCATAATTCTTCACAGACCTTGAAAGAACAATAATCAACTTCATATGGAAAAACAAAAGACCCAGGATAGCCAAAACAACCCTGTTCAACAAGGCAACATTCGGAGGCATCACCATCCCTGACTTCAGGCTCTATTATATAGCCATAGTCCTAAAAACAGTTTGATATTGGCACAAAAATAGACAAGTAGACCGTGGAATTGAATTGAAAACCCTTATATTAACCTACACACATGTAAACACTTGGTTTTTGGCAAAGAAGCTAAAACTATACAATGGAAAAAAGAAAGCATCTTCAACAAATGGTACTGGCAGAATTGGATGCTAGCATGTAGAAGACATTGAACCTCTTAAAATAGAAAGTGAGGGGGTACCCTTGAAAGAATTGGTACAGGAGTCTGCTTCCTGAACATAATACCAGTATAACACAGACCCTGAGATTGACAATTAATAAATGAGACCTCCTGAAACTGAGAAGCTTCTGCAAGGCAAAGGACACAGTCAACAAGACAAAAAGGCAGCTGACAGAATGAGAAAAGATATTCACTAACCCACATCTGACAGAGGGCTGATCTCCAAAATTTATAAAGAACTCAAGAAGCAAGTCCCCAAAACACCAAAGGATTCAATTAAAAAGTGGCCTACAGAACTAAATAGAGAATTCTCAATAGAGGAGTCTAAAATGGCTGAGAGACACTTAAGAAAATGTTCAACATCCCTAGCCATCAGGGAAATGCAGATCAAAGCAGCTATGAGATACCATCTTACTCCTGTCATAATGGCTAAAATCATTGTCATTTTCACCAATAAGTAAATATACAAAATTCACTAAGAAGTTTGACCAAAGACACTGCCATTTAAGTTACAGAGCAGGGACTCCAGCGAATGGTCAGCATGGCTCAAAATATGGCCTTTCCATGATTTCATATTTCTTCCCAAAACAAGTGATGTCAGCTGGTCACCCCAACTTTCCGATTATACTTTAATATAACTGACACTGGACTTAGGACTTAAACAGTAATCTCCAGTGGTTATACAAAATCCCAATCAGATACAGAGGCCCACAGTATTACCCAAGGGTACCAGCCATGGCAAGATGCCTCCAAAGCTGTTGTAGAGAGAGGTAAATTCGGCTCCTGCACCCTCACTTTTCCTATGAGCTAGAAGGAGAGCAGGGTCTCTTCTCTCCTACTTTACATCTTCAGAACTTGATTGCAATGTGCCACTATTTCACTTCCCTAACTTGATAAGATTTCAATTGTGACATTTGTGTGTTTATTATTTTCCAATTGGAAGAAATCTCTATCTTCTGTGTCAATGATAGAATTTTTAAATCCATACTTTCCTAAACTATTAATAATTAAAACTGACACTACTAAATTTGGGGAAATGAAGGAAAACTCCTCAGGTAATTAGTGACATTTATATATTGGACGTGTGCCATGACACACTTGTCGGGGTCAAAGGCAAGTTAGAGGACTCGCTTCCCTCTGTCATGTGGCTCTTGAGGGTAAAACTCACTCACCCTCAAATAATTTTAAAGAACATTTCCTGAAAGTATTCATACTTCACTAAAATCTTTTAGAGGGTTTTTGGATATTATGCCATTCGTTTTTGTTATCCACTGTACCTCAATTCTTTGTGCATTTACTTATGCAAGACCACCTTTGTAGTTATTCTCTGTTGTTTGTAGATGTGCAGACTGACTTGTCTATTACCAGGCTCTTACAGAGTTAGGTTTCTTTCATTCATAGAAGAAATTAATCATTTCCAGTAGGCATTAGTTACTTGTTACAGAATAAATAAAAGATTAATTTAAAAAACCTTTTTCATTTTATATACCTGTAATGGATGATTATAATAGAGTCCACGAGAGCCCAGAATAAAGGGAAGACGGTATTTATTGGGTAGTCACTCACGAATGACAAATATGGTAGAGAATCGCCATGGTCTTCTGCCCAGAGGCACTGGAAGCTGCAATCCGATTTGTGGTCGCCACCCAAGAGAGCAAGAACATGCTTCTGCTCCCCCTTATCCATTCCATATGGCACATTAGATCATGCCTTAATGGGCTAGTACCCCAAAGGTTATTAGCTGAATGAGTTCCCACAACATATACCACTATGTGTTGTCCTGATATACTGTATAGATCATGTATTTGTATTGATAATCCTCCATTTTATGTGGCACAAACTACATTAGCTCTTTCTATCTTCTGAGGTACTAAAAGTTCTTCACTTTTCGAATTATGAAAACTTGTTTCTTGTGTGATTTGAATTTGAGCTTCTGCATTTCACTGAATGCTTTCCCTACTGCTTCCTCTAGTTCCTGCTATGCATGTTTTCAATTTGGCCTTTTTGTTATTAAAGATCTACATACACAGAAACACAAACATGTACACACACACAGATTTTTCTTTGCTAAATTAATAACTCTCACCTCTTCTTGTCACACACTGATTTTAAGAAGCATTTGGCAATTTTGTAACATGTAAGACTGGCCTGCTTTGTATGTTCCCTTGGAGACTGGGCTTTGATTCTTAATGTTTTCTACGCTACTTATTTTTATTATTATCCAGGTTTGTTTAAGTTTTAAAACATCTTATGAATCTTTGTGACATCAGAAGTAGTGTTGTTGAATCATCCCTTATGCTGTATGCTAAATTTGTTTCATTTTTATAATCATAAAAGTGGGAGTAGGCTAGTCACTTGTTTCACTATTAACAGCACGTCCGTAAGGTGGCCATTTAGGATGATGGTGGCAATTCTTCTTATCCTTAAGTTTCTTCTAAAGGTTTCCTGGAATAATTAAAATAAGCACTTGCAGGAGGATTTTTGCAACATTTCCACTGCCACTGACCATTCAAATTGGTCTTTACTCTTCACCTGGGTACCCGTTCCCTTCCCTCAGTACCACATGCTGCAGGAAGAAGGACGGCACTCCAGGGTTCAGTAAACCTGACATACACTGTGATGGCTTCATGTGACTCAGAGAAATGTAAAACTTAAGGCCTGAATCAGAATGCCTTCTTAGACTGTGAATAACAGGCACTCACTCCTCTGCTAAACCCAAGGTTCTTGAACAAAGAATGCTTCTTTTGGTGACTTAGGATGTAAGACTAACTCCACTTTCCTTAATAATATTGGCTTTATGACTATTAGGATAATAATGAAATGAAAGATTTCTTCTCTGTTATATTTGAGTGTGAATTTTCATAATTATTTTAAATTTGTTACGCTTAAGATTTATTTAAGACATCTGACTATTCAGTGGGTTGAGACAGATGGAATGTCACACTGTCATCACATGGTAAGGCATGAAATGTATTTGCTTTTTACAACCAACCTCTACTAAAAACAACCTCACACAGCTATCCCTTAGTCAATAGATGGCATTGTGTAGCACTTGGCATTTTCATTTTTTCTAGAGATACTAAAAAATGCCACCATTGTTTGTCTGTGTCTAGGAATTCCAGTAAACAAAATGTTTTTGAAAAGAATGTAAGCAAATTGTAGAGCAGTTGCCAAGATAAGAAATCAAGACACTTAGTTTCAGTCCAAAACATATTTTATGTTTTGAGAATAATTGTGTGGGTTGCAGAATGCATATTTCAGATGCAGTATAACCATCTGAACTTTACAATGTTCAAAAAAGTTGATTGTTTCAGCTATTTGTAATAGAAACTATTTCAGAACTTCTAGCTCTGGTCTTTTGAAAGAAGCACAGACTGTTTTCTTTAGTTAACTTCCATTGTACAATTCATCTTGGTTATAGGATTGTGAAGCTATCAAATTCTTTAGGTTGCATGACAAGCTGAAACCCTTTTTGTACTGACACTGTAAAGTAGTTTGACTGCCTTTTCATTCTAGTCACCGTTGAGGTATTTTTAACAAAAATATGTTTTGCTTCTCTCAACTCAATCTTGTAATTTCATGTATTCCTCATATTGGTTAAATAATTTCACTTCCTGAAGACTACTACCCTTTTGGCTTTTCATCTTAATAATTAAGTTGCTTTTTGGTTTTTTGTTTTGTTTTGTTTTGCCAGATACTGCAGTTTCAAAAGCATTCATCTGAGTCTGAAGGCTCTCTTTAAAGTGCCCCCATGTTGCTTTCTTAGATTTTTTTGAAGATAGCTGTTAATTTTGTGCCACAGATACACATTAGTGTACACTGCAGCCTTCAGCCCTCTATATGTTGTGCATGCTGCATGGGTTAGACCTCTACTGTTGATAATGTTAATGTTCTTATTTTATGCCAGTCATCACTGTTTGGGGAATACTACCAACTGCTGAAAATGCCTACTTAAGATTTGTCTTGGATTTAAGAAAACCAAACAGGTTTATTTCTTTTCAATGTCTTTTACATAATTTTCTTCCATGATTTAAATTTTTATACTTTACTTAAAGTACAATAATTTTTCTTTTGAAAAAAAACTGTAGCAATGTTAAAATTATACATTTGGACTCACTTAATAGCAATTATGTGTTTAAAAGGTGTAAATATCTTGCAAGCAGACAGTACAAATATCCAGGTGTTCTTATGTGCTGATGACAACAAAATTGAAAAGAAAGACTGTAATAATTCTGACTGGTTTTCTCTGCAGAAGATATTGATTATTTGTGTGTGGTGAGAGATTTGGAAAATTCAATTAAAGGAGTTGTGCAAAGGTTTCATAAATTTCCCTTCTACAGCATGTACACAGACATTGTTGCCTTTTAAATCAATGCAGCACTTCACAATATATTTTCTTTGAAACATAAAAATAAATAACATTTAAACAGTTCTGCTTACTACAGAAACAAATTTTATTTTCTGTGAAGCATTTAGTCATGTGCTATCACTGACTCATACACATTTGCCAGCTGTAACAAATTTTATAGACACTTCCCTGGAGACATAGCTCACATACTATGAATTTTTAAATGAACAAATGGTGAAGAAAGGATGTCAGCAATATAAAAATTGATCAGTTAAAAGATAAAAGCATAAGTAAAGAGATTTGTATGGTAGCCTTAATAGGTTTTATTAAATAAAAATACTATAAAAAGACAGTAATGAATAGACTGAGGACTGGCTGTTCTTGAGGAAGAGAAGAATTATCCTGGCACATTTATAGAAATTGGTTTTTTGTCACCTGACAGGTGAACAGGTTCCATTTTAACCCTGAAAAGCAGTCAGAAAAACTCACCCCATCCCCAAGACTCACATCAAATTGCTGAGTGGCATACTTATTTTAGACACTTATGTAGCAAAGTATACTTACACTGTTACATAACTGATTATGTTAGGTGGTTTGGTGTCCATCACAGACTCAAGAGACAAAGGAGGTCATTTGTATGCACACTTAGTTTCAACCCTCGGAACGCCTGGGCCTCTGCCACCTTCCTTCTGCTAGACTGCTTTCTCCTCTCCTGCCTATGGAACTATTAAGTCTGTCCCAATGGCCCATCCTCTGTGAAGCTCCCCCTTCTCCCAGGGGAAGCACAGTTGCTTCATGTTGTAGGCTCCCATAATCTTGTCAGTGTTTGTTAGTTCTGTTAAGTGTGTTTGTGTGGTGCATCATCACTCTCAGATTCCTGGCCTTTTGGTGAACTCTTGTGTATTGCAGAATCTGAAGAAAGAGCGAGCCTGAGTGTACTGCAGTAGAGTACCTACACAGAACCCAGATTGAAGGTCTTTTATGTAGCCCAGTGAGTGGGTGGATGAATGTCTACTCTAAGATTTTAAAATATTATCTATCAGAGGTAGAATCCTCATGGCATAACAGTAGTGTTGTCTGACTCCAAGAATTATCTAAGCATTTTCAAACAATTGATTTTTTTTGGTTTTGTTGAGTTGGTTGGTTGATTTATTTTGGACGGGGTCCTGGCTAGCCTAGAACTTGCCATGTAGACCAGGCCGGCCTCAAATTCAGAGATCCACCTGCTTCTGCCTCCCAAGTATTGGGATTAAGGGTTCAAATGCTTACGATTGCTCTCTTTATGTACTTACAAAATGCCTATTATAGTCTTCTGACCTTAGAGATACCAACAAAACAAAACAGACATTGTCCTGCTCTCAGAGGTACAGATTCCAGCACAAGAGCATGAAAGTATAATAATAGCATTAAATTTCAACATCTTAGAGGTTACTCTGGTCCTACTTCAGAATATATATTTTATAATTATAAGATGTTGAAATAAAAATTACTATCTATTTTTATGTGTATAGAGGTTTTCCTGCATGTATGTAAATGTACCACATGCATGCAGTACCCACAGAGGGAACTGAAGAGGGCATCAGATCCCCTACAACTAGAGTTGTAGATGGTTGTAAGCTGCTATATGAGTGCTGAGAACCAAACCTGGGACCTCTGCAAGAGCAGTAAGTGCTCTTCACTGCTGAGGCCTCTCTCCAACCCCCAACTTTAGTGTATTTTAATTTCACTTGATTCAATATTTACTTTGTATCATATAGTATGGCAAGTTATTCTAAAGTCTTTTCTGAAAAAAAATTCTCTCTTTTCATATAGAACATCATCTTGACAGCTTTGAATTCTTGAAAGCCATTTTGAACTGAGGTAATGTCTTGCTTTTCTAACTCAGCTAACATTGCTAAATTTCACTGTTTTGTTCATGCAAAAACATTTAATTTACATTGTAATATTTAATTAATTAGTTATAGCTTTCCTTTAGAGCCATTACTACTATTTGGTAAAGATAATCTTTCTAGTCACTAACTATAGCATATAAACTATCAGTATGTCATGAGGTGATGTGTTCAGTAGTTTACTAGGTGAAATATACCTTGTTTGATTTGGGCATTTTCTTCATCTCATCCATGCCTCTGACTGGTCCTCACCTCGTGAAGAGGGCTTCTACTCCAAAGTTGAACCACAGTCTTAGTCTCAGCTGCTACACTGTCTCAAGTATACTTACTTCATCACTCAGCTGGCTTAAAAACTCAAAACACATTCAGAAGTGACATGATCTAGCAGCACTTCATATGTGGAGACAGAATTTTGATCTATACTAAATCATACAAGTTCAGACTTTCTAGAAAAGGTTCTGGCCGATTGCACAAAAATCGTGACTCTAATGAGGATCAAAGTGTCAGCCTGGAGAAACAGGTGTCCCATAGGGCAAGCCGTCTGGCACAAAAAAAAGTTAGTTATTAACATGGACTGGGTCTTAAAGCAGAACTAGAATCCACACTGTGTCTAACCCTGAACTCTATACAACTGCCCCAACCCTGATGGGCAAGCTTGGTTGCTAAGTCTGTGAAGACTACAGACTGCCTTCTCTTCATGAACTGCAGCAGGACAGGTGAGGACAAGGTTCTCTCCTGACCACATGCAGCTAAGAGACACAAAGCCCACAAACATGAGACACACAGCGACAGTGAAACTGCACATGGGCAAGAATGGTGTGTAAAAATTAATGACCTATAATATCAGTAAGTATAGGCCAGAAAACGTTCTGGATTCTGCCTTTCATGAGGTGTAGAGTGAGAAAGAGTTGATAATAAATAGGTATAAACATTGCTTTCTGCTGTGAGTGCTAGTGAAGAAAATGCAGTGTCAGAAAGCTCACCACATAGATCGACTCCGAAAAGTGTCAAGGTAATTAGAGACTGGGGACTTTACACCAGCTCTAGCCCAATGTGGTGCACATAGCTGTAATCCCAGTGCATGGGAGGTTGAGCTATATACCTGGGCTTTACAGCAAGCAAGTATGTGTTACAGGTGAGGAGGGACCATCTTACTAATTCCACTCCACATTATCTCTGTCCAGAAGTCATTTACATTCTATTAACAGATAGAATCTGTACTTTACCAGATAGAAGATCTGCACTTAGTTTCTCCTTTAAGACAGGATTACACTAATATAGCCAGGCCTGTCCTCAATCCTTCTCCCTCATCTTCCTAAGTGCTGGAATGACAGCCATGCACTAAATATACCTGGCTTTAAAACATGGGTATTTTTGATGTACTGTATGCCTATGTAAGCACAAAATATCAGAAAATGAGACTAAGGAAGGGTTCAGAGTAACACAGTCACCAGCCTCATTCAGAGATGGCCCAGCAGCAAAGCTTATGAGTACAGCCTTAGAATATATGGTTGCCATGAAGGAGGAATACTGCCATTACCTGCTATACCATAACAAAACTTTCTGCTTGGTCCTGGATTTGGCCTCAAAATCTTTTTCATTAGTTCTCCCAACAATCAAGGTCAGCTGATGAAAACTTTGCAGTGTCTGGTATTACAAAAAAATAATTTTTTTAAATTCAAAGATGTTCAATGCTAACTCTACTACCTAGCTATAACCCTATTCATAGATTAAAATAGGCTTGTGACCCTATTTTGTGAGAGTAAATTGCATACTTAACGTAACTAGCATCTCCCCCATGGTAATATTTTAATAAGAGCTTTTCTCTCCTTTGTAGTATTCCCTTCAAGTCTGACAACTGTGCATTAGTCAACCGGTAATAATGCAGCCCGGACTGAAGAATCAGTGAAAGTTGAGTATTTGTTAATTTTTCTAATAGGAAAAAAATAAAGGAGTCCATTATACACTACCTTTTTATGCAAAACTCTTGTGAGTATGCCTGAATGTTGTGTGTGGGTGGGGGATGCGGGAATATATTTACCATGGTACAGGTTCCCCAGTATCAGCCCATCTTCCACCTTAAGACGGGGTCTCTTGTTCACCAATGTATGTACCAACTTAGCTGGCCTGTGATCTCCCAGTGAGTGATGGGCATACACATGCGTGCTGCTGCCTCCAGCTTCATATGAGTTCTAGCGATCCAAATGCAGGTTCTCCCACTGAGCCATCCCCCAAGCCCACCACTCTTGATGACTTCTAACGCTGGTGAGCACAGGGAGGCAAAGAGCCACATTCCTACAGGAAGGTTTATGTCATCAGCTGCCAGTATCTTCCCTGACAGTGCTCCCAAGTCTGAATAGGGTCCTCTGTCACCACTAGGGGCCCCCAGTGGGACACACTGAGTAGGAATCTGTCACAGTCATCACACACTCCCTTCTTGGCAGCTGTTCTAGGAAGCACCTGCTGGAAGTCCCTTAAGGCATGTAGACAAAGGCATCTAAATTGTGTTTTCACTGGGTCATGCTCGGGTATCAAAATTCTCTCAAAAGTATTTCACATTTCTTCATGCAAAATAAAAAGTGCTGTCAGAATAGCCAAACTAATCTGTGAAGGTAAATCTCACAGAAGACTCAAAAATGAGCAAATGGGAGCTCACCAGTGTCTGGAGTAGGCACCAAACTACACGGCATATCACATTTAGACCACTTAAGTGATGTGTGTTAATTTTGAAAATAAGTTGTGATGATGTAATGACCATCTTTTATATCCCAAAGGCACTTAGAAGAAATGCACTCACTGTGAACAGTGTCCGCATCTGCCTGATCATATTTAAAGACACAGAAGAAATGTGTGTAATTAATCTGCCCAGTAAATACCAACTTGTAGCACTAGGCAGGTGCAAGTCTAGATAAAATTTCTTGCAGCTAATTTAAACTTTCTACACACACCACTAGATTATCTCAATGTAAATAATACATTACTTCTTGACCCTTTAATGTAAGCCTTGCAGTACAGGAAGAGTCCTGACTTAACACCGTGTCTCACCTATGTACCTACTTTTAACACTTGTGGATAGAATTATGACTCTGCCTTTGTAGAGTAACATCCTCTATAAAGTCCATTACAGAAACTCCAATATACCAGGTGAATCAGGAACCAGCTTTCCCATGGGCAGTCCAGTCATTTATTAATTTACAGGCCACTTTATGTTTATTGAAATTTTGGTATTATATTGTGGAACTAGTGTCTCAGATGTGCATTGTCCCACCACAGGGCCAGTTGTCTCTGCTCAGAGAAAAATCATTGTGAACATTTTAAGATATGACACATTTAGAAAACACTGGAATGAATTTTCAGGACAGACATTGAAATATTAAGCTGGTTATGAACTAGATTCAGAGTCGAGTAAGTTTAAAGAAAAGACCTTTACTATAGGTCAGAATGTGACCCCTTCCCCATTTTCTGACAACATTAACTTAGATGTGTGATTCTAAGATGTGGTGTTTGCATTACAATCTGTGTTATGAGAATAGAGGGGAAGGAAAATCAGAATCTGTATAACATAGTTTCTAAAAATTTACACACATGACCACTGCTACATGGAAAGAAATGCTATTTTCTTGGTGCATACCCTAAGTATGTTTTGACAAAATTAGTCTGAGATGTCACTTAACTCAGAACTGCTTTGAAATTAAAAATCATGTAAGAAAATTTGAAACAAAAAAATCAAGATTGAAAAGAACTCTTTCTCCACTTAGAAATATTTCAGAACGATAAAGTAAAGGTGTTTAAAAAAGTCTATTACTATAAATGGAAATAGGTACTAAGTAGTAGTTCAATCAACTATTCAACCTAATTGCCTTCTGGGTTTCCAGGAACTACTTAACTAGAATATTTCGAATATATGTCTGCCAAATATCAAGGGTGCTTTTTGATATAATCCTTCAAATATGTTACCAAAAATATACTAATAGAGATTGTTGTTCTAACATGGAAAACTAGGGCACAAGTGAAGACATTTTATAGAGTATCCTGCATTAGAAAACAAAGGGTTAAGCGGTAGATTGGTTTCCCATGTAGTGAGTTGCGCAGGCATGTTACTGTGTGCTTGACCTCTTGATGTACTGAGCACTTGCCTTTCAGAACAGCTGGGTCTGCTGAGAATCATTTCCCAGTTTTCTTCATTGTAGATCAGATGACTCTCGCTTTATCACCCTTGGAGGCCACATGAAGGACAAAGCAGGAAAATCCACACACAAAACTAATATTTATATGGGGAGAGGAGAAGGGATGTACCAGGCCCAGATAGTCCAGTAAACAAAAAAGAAACTAGTTATGAATTGGAACCATTGTGTTCCTCTAGCCATTTTTTTTTTTGGTAGCTGTAATCTGTCCATCTTTTGTCCCTTCCTATAGAATCTTTGTGTGTGTGTTGCTCCCATACTTGGGGCTTATGATTTGGACAGACTCTTGCCCCTCCCTAAGGCCTCAAAGGATAAAGATTCTGGTGAGCTTCATATGGCACATGAACCCACACCCTATTCTCTTCTTGCCTTAAGAAGCAAACCCATGTACATTAGCAGTGAGAGAACTGCATTTCTCAAAAATGCCTCTTTACTCTAAAATGTATCTGAAAAAAAAAAACATGGAACTCCTCATTTTTTAACAGGTAAGAAACCCTGAATCTGGGCTAGAGAGATGGCTCAGCAGTTAAGAGCACTGGCTGCTCTTCCAGAGGTCCTGAGTTCAATTCCCAGCAACCACATGGTGACATAATTAAAAAAAAAAAAACCTGAATCTAGCATCATGTTATACTGTTATTTTTATTTATTTTTTAACTTATTTATTTTTAAATTTAAATGAGAAACAAGGTTGTTTCACATGTCAATCCCAGGTCGCTTTCCCTCCCCTCCTCCCACCAACCCCCCCCAATACTCCCTCTTTTCCCCAGGGAGGGTGAGGCCCTCCATGGGGGTGTCCATAGTCTGTCATTTCATCCAGGGCAGGGCCTAGACCCTCCCCCAGTAGTCCAGGGTGAGAGTGCATCTCACATTGTGGGATGGGCACCCAAAGTCCATTTGCATGCCAAGGATAAATACTGATCTACTACTCAAGGCCCCATATATTGCCTAGGCCTCCTCATTGACACCCACATTCAGGGGGCCTTGATCAGTCCCATGCTGGATTCCCAGCCATCAGTCTGGGATTCAAGAGCTAATCCTTGTCGGGTCAGCTGTTTCTGGGGGTTAAACCAGCCCAGTCTTAACCCCTTTGCTCATCAGTCCTCCCTCTCTGTTACTGGGTTCCTTGAGTTCAGTTCAGTGTTTAGCTGTGGTTGTCTGCCTCTGCTTCCATCAGTCAATGGTTGAAGGTTCTGTTTCCCAGACTCTCTGGCCGTGGAACTGTAGGTTGGCACTCCCCAGATCCATGTCTAAAATCCATATATGAGTGAGTGCATACCATGCTTGTCTTTTTGTGACTGGGCTACCTCACTCAGGATGGTTTCTTCTAGTGTCATCCATTTGCCTGCAAATTTCAAGATTCCATTGGTTTTTGTTTTTGTTTTTCTGCTGAATAGTACTCCATTGTGTAAATGTACCACATTTTCTTTATCCACTCTTCAGTTGAGGGGCATCTAGGTTGCTTCCAAGTTCTGGTTATTACAAATAATACTGCTATGAACATAGTGGAACAGATGTCCTTGTATCAATGTGAGTAATAAGGTTGCTCTACTGACTTTCTGAGAAGTTAGAACTTTGTCATTAATGGAAATCAGCATTTGTGTGTTAAAATCAGATACATTATTAAGGAAAAATAAGAGGTAGAGTTAAACCACCCAGCCAAGATTCTGTCAGGTCGGCCCTCGGGTACAAACATGACCATGGACTGCTTCTCTGTGCTGATCTTGCCCTTTGAATCCTTGCACACATTGCTTTGTCTAGGCCAACTTCCTTTATCAGACTGAGAAGTATTTTCTTCTTTAGCCTATGGCCAGCTATGTCCAGAACCAATTCTTTATACTACTTTAGAATATGCTATTTAGTGACTTAATTGATGACTATATTATGAAAGAAATATACTCAAAATAGGCTAGTGGTAAAGTGACTTTAATTTTTATGAGACTAAAACAGATTTCCAAAAGAAAGTGAAACATAATACATGATTTTTGCCAGTTGAGACCCGAGTAAGCATGGGGCAAGGGAAAATCATATCTATAGGACAAAGCCGACAGAAGGTATGATCTGAATAAACAATTGTGTCTGTGGAAACCTTAAACAAGGTAACAGAAAGGGAGATGGAATTCTTGATAAGGTAGTTTAATTTAGAATGACTATAGAAATGTAGAACTAATGAACAGGAGTAACCAAAAAGACTTCAAACTTCTTATTCATATTCAATAAAGTTCTTTTTAAAAAATGGAATCAAGTGATTCCACATTTTTGGAAACAAGAGTATCTATCTATTAGCATCCAGTTTTGCACATTCAAATTTCAAACAGTATACTTTCTCAGTAATTAAAAAAAGCAGGGCATTGGTGGCCACGCCTTTAATCCCAGCAGAGGCAGGCAGATCTCTGTGAGTTCGAGACCATCCTGATCTACAGAGCAAGTTCCAGGACAGCCTCCAAAACAATACAGAGAAGCCCTGTCTTGAAAAACCAAAAAAAGAAAAAAAAAAGTTAATTCCCTGAGATACATCTTTAAATGGGATGCTTACTACTTGTTTGCTAAAGCTCAAACAAGACAGAAGCTTAATTCTTCTAATAGAGTCACTATATTTGCAGTTTTTAAAAACTATAATCTTTAGAATACTTTCCATTATCAGATATTGGCATTAAGAACTTTTTATTCTTTCCCTTTTTGTTGAGACAGGAGTCTTATGTAACCCAGGCTAGCCTCAAACTTTCTATGTAACTAAGGATGACCTTGAACCTGCCACTAAGATTGTAGATGTGAGCTACCACAATCA